TATACTCGGTCCCGCAACCTGGATATCGTGAACACCCGCCGGTGCAAAAATTGACTTCTTCACGAAGCTTTCGTACGTCATTCCAGATAAGTGTTCCGTGAGATATCCTGAGAAATTAGATTATTCGGGAATTATGCATTCAGCGGACACTGATAATGAACACCCCTGAAAGCATGCCTGAGAAAGACGCGCGCTCGAGAAATCGCGATCGCTTAGGTGTCCTAAAACACAAGCGTATTGATTGACGCATTCAGCTTGCCGCTCCGCGACCGCCCGCTCTTGGTTCACATGCGCTAATTCTAGATAAACGTGTTCCGCTGAAATCTCCTGCTATAGTAAAAGATACATACCTAAGACTTGATATCCGAAATTTGAATAGATCCATTTAGTTCCGGGTTTATGCTCTAGTGGTACGTTTTCCAAAACGTATGAGATCAACTCCTCTGTATTCAATTGCGGTTGAATCCATGCGGCATCAGACTGCAGATTATCCCATCCTCCTGCAAAAAAGCGATTTAAAGAGTTGGGAAACATTTCTGAGCCAAAAGAGCAGTAAGCGAACCTGCAGTATGTTCCAATAAATGCCGAACTGTGACGTCAGTGACGTATTTCTTGTAAGATTTACGCTTACCAAATTTTTCGCCTAAAATAAGCACTTAAACTAGGGAAATGTAGTTAAAACGCATTTTTTTCTCCAAGATGAGTCGACAGCTGAGTTTTGTCGCACCATGTCTCACTTGTTATGAAACGGCGATGACGCGCCGCGACCGCGCGCAGCTCTTTGCGACCATTTCAGTCACTCACGCTGTAGAACAGAAATTTCGCTCGATGGAGACCTACACCATACGAAGATCCAGCGAAAGCCAGCATAAAAAATTACCAAATATCGATCCGCGTCCAAATAAAGTGTCATCCAATTTGACTTTTCCTTGATCTACTAGTAGCAGGACCGCGCAAGCAGTTATTGGTTTCGACACCGAACCGACTCTGAAGTTGTTCAATAGTAGAGAGATGGAATGTAAAGCAAATAAGAATTTACTACCGAAATTGGTGATTTGGAGTAACCACTTCTTCCTCTCGTACATCTGCGAAGCCGAAACCTGTAAATTCAAAGAAGTCCACTTCAATTCTTGACCGCTTCCTAGTCTGAGCTCCCGAATAGAGAAGATGACCCAGGTACAGAGGTTGCGTAGCAGGACAATCGTCTCGCGGCGACGCTTGACAGTGCGATGCTAGGCGCGAGAGCTCCACGGCAAGCTGGGTAATGAGCTCTGCTGCGTCCAGGGGTAGTAAGTTACCCATGAACCACGACAACACGAATTCCTACGTGACACATCGCTTCAGGCAGCTGTAGGAAAACGCAATGCGATTCGCACGTTCGACAGCAAATGCATTTGCGAGTGCAACGTTGCAGCCACGCCCACCAACCCTCCCACTGGATGATTGTCGTGCACGTCCCAGCGTCCACGTGGCCCATTCTCACCAAGCACCCTCCCCCGCCCTCCCGTCTCCCCCAACTGCACCAGCATCGGGTAATATTACACAGTAAGTAAGAGAACAACTGCATATAATTACTTCATCAGGAAAGTAAGTGTAGGAAACAGACCAGCGGCAAATTTGAGTTGCTCTCGTTTAGAAATAGCAATCGATAAACCCGGGATGTTAAGGTCATGCATGAAATGTTCAACTCTCTCGATAAGAAAGTCTAGCTGGGATTCGGTTAGAAGCTCTGGTGATCCTTGAAGAAACCGTACTGGGATTTCCCTGAAACAAAAAAATCAGATGGACGCGACGAGTGCTGAAATATCGAAGTCACCTTTCACTCCACAGAGGTTCTACGTCTGGATGGCGATTTGAATGGAAATCGCTCCAGAGGACTACATATTTGACCATACCCATTTTGTCCATAAAATGCGACACTTGTCGGGGAAGGCATTTCGAATTCCCTTGGAATTTGCTTAAATTACTACTTTTGTGCAAAATTCATAAAGTTCACTGCTGCCATTGTAACTGAAAGTGAGAGTATGACTGTAGTAATCTCAAAAACTCGGAAATTCTACAGACAATTTGTACACCTTTGAGATCTGTCCTCGCCATGTGCCGAGAAAACTTGACTGCTTGACACTTCCGTCACTCGAGAGTGCGCGGAAATGAGCTGATGCATGCCTTACCGAAGGGAATGACCTTGGCTGACTAATCCTCCAACCGTGCTTTCCAATATTTATTTATTTATTATTTATTTATTTATTTATTTATTTGTTCACTGCATTGCACCTTTCAATATCCTTCGTCACCTTCAGCTCTAATATGACAAGATTTTTAAAATGTCATGTACAGTGGCTAATGAAGGTGCGTGTCAAGAGGTATGGGTTTGGCGCAGCGCCAGTTCCGTTCCCTATCAGTCATTGAAGCGTGAAAGCGACAACAGTTGGTGGGAAACGATTGATAGGAAAAACATAGTAAAGCTTTGTCGCTTGCTCGCCCCAACAAATGTGGAAAACGAGTTTGGCGCCTCGCCAAACCCATCCCGCCTAATACGCCCCTTCATCCGCAGCGAACAAGACTGTAGTAGCATGAAAAATTCTGGTAATGTTGGGAGGTACAATTAAAAATTGTAATTTTGGAAGAGAAACGCACTGACCTGTACATCTGTTTAAGGTCGTCACCAACAAGAATGTGGCTTTTACGGCCCTCCCGTTGTTCCCATATACCGGTGCACAGTACCTTCAAGAAAGTGCAGTTTTGGCAACGAGTCAACAAACTTTTAATATTTTCATTGCGAATATTTAATTATGATGCAAATGATTTTCTTGGGGCACTGCTGACACAAGTCGACAGTTCACTAGACTTCCCATCCTTGCTGGTGGTTTGGCGCGGGACTGGATTGGAGGAATGAAAACGGTGTTCTGCATGAAGTTCAAACCTTCCAATGAGGCCTAATTTCACAAGTCACACCCTATGTGCTCAAAAAAGCATGCCGAACTCATGGTTCACACTCAGTCACTAGAAAGAATCACCTGGTTCTTGTTGCTGAAGACGCTGAACAAAGTGGCTATATATCCTTTTGAAGTGAGCAGCTTGTCCCTGAGCAAACAGGAATCCAGAGTGAGGCCATAATGAGCTTCGTAGTGCACCGGATCTGTTCGCCGCGTTTGCCAGACTCCCACGTATCTGAACCGAAGCGACGTCATTGTAAAGTTATTGAATGATCACAATGTAGCTCAAACTCGTGAGGTGTCACCGGAATTCTACAGTCGTTATTGAAGAAGTCAGTCGGAGCGTGACCGCGTTGTGTGGGTTCTAGAGCGGCTCTGCCTTCTTCTCACCACTCACTGTACGCCTGTTGCAACTATCGATGAAAAGCCGGCTTGCGCTGGGTCAAGACGTACGCTCCGCTGACCCGCCCGACTGAGTTCAGTAATACAGGCCTCATCATTGGCGGAAAAAGTGTGCAGATGTCTCCTTCTTGCATCCCCCTCAAGAAGAACAGTACCCCAATTTAGAAATTTCTAAAACCGTATGTTGCCCGTAACGTAGCCGTAAGTTGTAACCAGTTCGTTACAATTCAACTTACCTTCCTCTTCCATTTTCAGAGTATCCGCATAGATAAGCAAGTCGAAGACCATCACGCTCAAATTCCAGCCGTTGTGACGTCGCATTTCCAGAGCCAGGAAACCACACCTACTTGAACAAAATACGCTATAAATATTACAACTAATTTCTGTTGAATATTACTGCTATACGAGACCGCTTATCAATCGACAAAAGTAACGAACTTCATATTCAATGCCAGGAACTCGTTCCCAGTAGGTGGTAAAAGTAGTCCGTCCTTTTTCTTCTTGGCCACAAATCTGTGTCAACACGAGGTCTCGCTTCTTGTTTTCCCTGCGATAACGAATTGAAGGATAAACGAAATAACGAATCGAATTGAAGGCAATAGCATTATTTTGTGCATTTAAGCGTTATTTTTTCCGTAATAATTACCAAACACTAGTGACGGTCTTGTCTTGTTCGCTGTGGATGAAGGGTCGTGTCAAAGAGGAACTTGAATTGTCGAAGAGGATTCGCGCTGCGCCTCCACGTTTTCTTTTTTCGACAAGCGACTGTATGATATTGCGCGTATCACTTGCTTAACTGTATCGATAACTGGTACAGAAACTTGTAAGCGTAAACTCGTACAGAACGAGCTGGCGGCGTGCAAACTCGCCCTTATTGGACGAAAGCCTTATTCATCGTAGCTGAACAAATCTAGTATGTAGATGAACCACTGTTTACAAGACGAGAAAAAGACCTCAGTTCTTTCACGACGGAACACCCCACCCTTCACCCAACCTCCCGCACACCTTGAATACACCTTCGATACTTAAATATTCAAAAGGATAAAAATGGAGGGATACTCGAATTAATATACAGCGTTCAGTATGACCCTAATGTGCCTCGCTTATTATCAGCCGGACAGCGAGGAGCTAGATGGAGCTATGCAACAACCGGCTGTGATTGGTCGACTATTCAGAACCACCAATCCGAGGTTCACAAGCGCAAGACCATCACTAGCTCTCTCCGGAGTTTTTAGCAGCGATTTGAAAGTCCATACAAAACATACGAAATCACTTGCTTACCAGTCCTCTTCAATTGCGGCCGGTAGGGCCGGGCACGCTCACTTTGTGATCATCACAACAGGGGGTCGTAAATTTTGGCCGGCGATCGAGGGGGGGGGAGTGCGTAGAAGACGCCATGGCCTCGTGGATTGTTGAAAGTGGAGAGAGCGGTGGAAACACGTATTTTAGAGTTGGAAAAGAAGCTCAAAAGGGACGATGTAGATGACAATAAATAGAACTAGGCACTATCGAACTATTCCTAGGCCAAGAACTAAAAAAATATTCCTGAAACTTTTTCCTCCTTCCTCACAAAAAACTTCAGGACACTCGTCGGCCACTCGCAACCCTCTAATCTGGTCTACGATAAATCCAATCCCACTAATCCACGCAAATCGTATAGAAAAGATCCAGTTGCAGTAAGCTAGCCTAGTAACGTATGAAATTGACATCAGTCATTTCGTCACCGAACAAAATCAAAAACGCACAAAACAAAACCAAACTCAACAAAAACAACAATCAAAATAACTCACAATCAAATAAGAAAAGAGAATAAGATAAGAAAAAAAAACTCACCAGGCCAGCTGGGAACGAACTAATAGGATTACTTTTGAATTTGCTGTGTCGCGGGACAAGCGCGCTTGCCTCACAAGCCTCATGTGGTGCGCGCTATTTTTCGGCTTGGAGCCAGTTTCAAGCCAAACACGTGAAAAGTACCCCTCATTTGAACACCCATAACTTCGTTGAAAGTGAAGCTATCGGAGAGGGGTAAGTGGGAATGAGTAGAGCTAGGGTTGGGGCTCTTGTCACCTGAATTGAGCGATTTTAAAAACGTTCCGATTCCAGAGATTTTCCCCGTTGTGATCATCTTTGTGATCCATCTGTGATCATTTTTGCGAACCGCGAGTCGCTACGCTTTGGACGTCCATGGCAAGCTTCATACACGACGCCTAGATTTGTAAAAAAAAAGAACTGTGCCGGAAGCTTGAAGATTTCTACTTTCCAGCAAGGTTTTAATTTCCTTCCTAGACCTACTATTCGAAAAAATTCCCCGTTGTGATCATTTTGTAATCACCCCCCACGACACCGAAAATCAACCCCTCCGAGGCCAGGGAAACCTCCGGTTGGGCTTCGATGACATTTGGTATGACGTTCAAGAGACATGTTTTCGCAAAGGGTATCAGGAAATAGGCCATTGGGCGCCAATTGGCATCACCTCTGCAATGCGCCATGCATGGGGCTTTCACGCAGGTGTTTGGAAGGTGTAACTTCTAGATAGGGCTTCCCAATTGCAAGCAAATGTGCTCCTACGATCAGAAAGTCCGGGGATGTACTTTCACTGCGGATTTAATTAATCGTACGTCGTGAGTCGCTTTTGCTTTATAAATTCATGGTGGCCCTGTCGGGCGTGAGTCGTGAGCACCTATCTATCGTGCCCTTCCTGTACGTTTGATGTCAGTATGGCCCTACACCAGCGCCGCAAAGAGTGCTGGACCGTGCTTGGGACGTACGTGGTACTGCGACCTACCCCCCCGGAGGGGGGGTCGTACTTGAAGATGGATATAGGGGGGGTCGTATTTTTCAGGAAATGATTCCACAAGCGAATGGCAGTAGCCTCGCGGTGGGCTGCGTGTCAGTGGCTCGGCCGCGCGTCTTGGCGGCGGTGTGGCAAAGTCCGCGTTCCTGCACCACAGTTGCTTGAAGCAGGGTGACATTACTGTGTTAGTAGCTCCTTCGTATTACCTCGTTTTCTACTACTTTTTTGTCGCATACGCGTTTCAATAAAAAGACTGAGTACGGCTTCAAGCAGTGTGCACACTCATACTGGCCGACACGGTCCCCCGCCGTCGCGCAAGTGATGAGGACTGTCTCAACTAGTGTCTTCTCCTATTGTTTTGTGGCGCGGAGAGTATGCAGTGCTGTGCATGCAGTAGCAACAAAAGTAAAAAGTATGATGTTGAGGAGTACTCACTCCACAGCGATCATGAGCTCATCGTAGGTCATTGGACTGGGCTTGATGAAAACCGGTCCGGTATATTTGTGCATAATTGCGTAATATATCAGTTGACGTTGGCGTAGGAAATAACCCATTGAGACCAATCGGCCACCGAATCTCAACGAGATCGACAGAACATTATCGACCAGGGATTCGTTACCTCAACAAAAAAGAGCTATTAAATTTGATCACTCTCACAGTGACATTGTATGCCAGTAGTTCACAACTTAGTAAGACCTGGGCAATACAGAATCAAGGCGTCTTTGACAGATTGATGCTCTTTGAAGACAATTCTACACTCAACTCCGCTCCTCACCATGTGAGAGGTATGGGTTCGCAGCTGCAGTGGCGCACACATTCTCTGCCCAAATGTGCACGGGAATGCGGATGGAGCGTAGTTATATTCCATTGCCGTCTCCATTCTGTGCCACCGCGCCACATGGCCAGCCACAAGCCTAACCATAGCCAAACACGGTACCTGCTGCGCTCTCTCATCTCTGATTGTTCTCTACCGCTGTGTGGCGTTGTATCGTTGCGGGTTTTTGACATAGGCGCGAGCACATTGAGGACATTGGAGGATAGCGCCCGCTTATTCGGGAGACGGTGTCTGACCATGATTACCCTCCGGCCCTGTTTGCGTGCTTTTTTTAAGGGGAGAATGTGGTATAGTACTACAGCTGCACCCATTCTTCCCACTGTCCGTGACAATTAAAAAGGTTCAATGGAGGGCGCAGTTTACGGTATTGCTCTTTAGGCAACGATCGTTGGTCAACGAATGCACTCGCGATGCAACAGTTTGATATTTTGGAGATCTGTTTCGGCTCTAACAAAAAAGCAGCCGTGGAAGCTGAAATGTACAGAGTACCAGCTAGGGCGTGTTACTCACCCAACTCGTGAGCACCCAGTCCTGCTCATTCGGAGGAGGTGGATGAACAATTTGCAGTGGACTGGGTCTACCGTTGAATTGTGCTTCAGGTGGCGCCATATCGTACTGAAATGGTAGCTGTGCTTCCAGCATTATTCAATGTTGTGACGATACTTTTTCCCAAAAGCGAAAAGAAGTTAAACAAATTGGAACCTGATCGGCAACAATTAGGGTGTTCCATTGGGAACAGCAACGCTGAAGGGGCTCAAGCTATCCCGTAAAGTTGCCCTCGGCTTGTCTTCTCGGATTTTATCCATAATAGCCATCAAGGAGATTCTAATATACAGTATTGTTCCTGCGGACGCTAAGGCAGTCAAGGGAGCTGAGCTCCAGCCAGTTTTTCATCAGCTGTGGTCGCCTGCTTGCTTCCACCATTGGTAGAGAGCAGGCTGGAGCCGTGCCAAAGCAAGCTCGGGAACGCCCCAGCGTTTGCAGAGAACTCTGTAGGACTTGAAGTTTTTGACAAAGTCGTCAGGGATGCTCTTCTAGGTTGGTGGAAATGCCAATGGAATGGTAAATTTTCGGTTTCTATTTTTTTGTAAAGCCATTTTGCCCCATTAATAAATCGTTTTCACCTAATTGTAACTGATGTATGCTGCCTCCATTTATGTAGTTTTTTTCCAATAATCAGCGTTCAATTTGAATTTAAATTCAGAGTGTCAGGAAAATGGACAGGGGCAAGTTCCGACCAATTTTTTTCAAAAAACAGTCAAAAAACCCAGGTGATTCAGGCTATAGAAATCTTAGTAACCAACTTCATACATCAGAGCCTTGTGCTACGGAATTATACTTTCTCAATCATTAGATTTACTATTTACTGGAGTCAGGCCAATCGACTCAAGAAAATATACAGATCAAAATTCAGAAAGAGATCAAAAACTAGATTGTCCAATGTTAGAAGGCCGAATTTCGGAATTTTCCCCGTAATCAAGTCAGATATATTATGAAAAATAGTCTCATTCCGGCAATATGTCTACTTTCCGATAGTTTTCACTAATAAGAGTTAATTTTTTCATGAAATTTTTAGTTTGGATCTGAAAATGGAAACTCCGAATCTCCATAAGTTCCCAGTAACCAGTAGTTCACCTATCAGAACACATGATCACTTCAGTGCAATACCCTGAAAATACAAACCTGAGGAAGAGTAGCCGTTGGATAGTCCTTCCTAAGCGTTGAAAAAGTTGGTGATGATGGATGTAAATATCTGCAAAATCCAGTTCTACTTCGGGTTGATTTTCATTTTTTTTGGCCTCTTTTCAGACTCTCAGGAGCTCCAAGCAAGTTTCATGCCCCTGAGCAATTACTGCGGATTTTTCATACCATCCACATTTCTCTATACTTTGCCAGTACTACATAGCAGTACTGGCAGAATTTGATGCTTCATTTTAATCTGGATCGAATCAGTGTCAGAAAGAATTCACTAGATGCGCTTAATAATAATAATTCAGAAAAGGGGAAGAAAATGATATAAAAACTCACTCTGCTTTTTGTGAAGATATCGGGGCCACTTGTAGGGCCAGACTATAGCAATCGATTTCGTGAGAAAACAAGGAAAGAACGAAAATCTTTAGCAAGGAACGAAGAAGTTCCTGCATGAGATCAAACGGAATGTTTCGAAGTGAGAACCTTAGGCTCTTCTTCACACAGTCCACAAACGCTGAGACATTCGAATTCCGGCCGCACCCGCGGCCAGTTGACCGACGAACGTTCAACAAACAGCGGCAGCTTCACAAGTCCCGAAATAGCAAACGAAAAATTTCTGCGAGAATAACGAGCTCTTGAAGTTGCCATAAAAGGATATAGTTTGTCAAAGGGCCCACCATTAACTGTTTCTTTTTCGAATTGGTTCAGGATTGCGCATATACTCAGAGTCCTAGTAATTTGAGAGTAACTCGGCCTGCGAAGTGCTTGGTTATACTCAAGAGGCCACCTAATCTACATATTAGCTTTTTCATCCTCCCAAATTAAAAAGGCATCTGCCCTTGGGTGGGTGATTCAAGGGCCGTTTGTCCTAAGCAGGAACCGATCAAGGATTTGATCCCCAGCCATGCCTGTGATTGAGCACCCTCCACTTGCCGCTCTTCCACCTGCTCGAAGAATCCCGGATGGTGTATCAGTGAGGCACATATCTTATTGCTCGGGATAGAGTGTCGATTCTTCCTCTTGTACTTTTTCAGTCCTCCCTTTATGACCTTACCGTATCGCCCATAGGCATTTGAATTCGGTTCCCATAAAGCTAAGTACATGATTTCACCACTCACGGACCACAGCAACAGCAGCGTGCCACCCTCTCCGCTCAAATTCAGATGGGAACAGGGCTGGAGGGTGGTGTTAGCCGGGTGAAGCCTTTTGTCGCTATCCTCAAGGTGCAGCGCTTGCGTTGAAACCGAGATCCCACAGCGAAACTCACTCCAGCGGTAGAGAACAACTATAAGTAAGAGTTCGCGGGGAACTAGGGCACTCGGTTTCGGCTGGGCACGTGGCTGGCCCTGCTGCACCGCGGCAAGGTATCAAACGGCAGCTGTTTATCCGGGTATGTGACAAGAGAATCGTAATTCACCGCGCTGGTGGGCGTCGCGTGCGACGTCGCGCCCGCAAATGACGATGGTTCCAGGTAGTAGATGGCATAACAGGCAACTCAGAACCAGAAATAGCAGGGCACAGCGTCAACTTTTTTGCCGAGTATAAACCACAACCACAGTCAGCCAGTCCAGTGTCATTCATAAGCATGCGACGTACATCGTACGACGAGCATGGGGGGGGGTCGTACCAGCCCCTGAAAAAAGGGGGGGGGGTCGTAAAAGCTCGACCAAAATCCCCATCGAATGCTGTGCCCTGAGAAATAGTCATGAATGTCTACGATGACGGGGTCTACATGGCGTGGTCTGATGGGAGCGGCAAATTGTGATTCTCTTGACCGTCTCCCGTATATCATTACCTTCCAGCCTCGTTCCCATTCAATGGAGCGGACAGAGTGGCACGCTGCTGCGACTGCGAACCCTTCCACTTCATACAAGGCAAATACCATTACCTCTGGAGGGGAATGCACAGTTAATTTTTGATGCTTCTATTATTTATATCTCATTTTTGCTGCTGCTGTTTCGACTATTCCTCAACAGATGATTACGCTCGTTTTTTCTTCTGTGAAATTCTGGCACAACTTTTCATTGTACAAATACACTACACATCCCGGCGATAGAGTGAGCGTGGTTGCGTACTTTACTTGGATAAGGTGTAGGATGCGTTTTCGTGGGATTTTTCCGTTTGATACAATGTTGTCCTATCTTGTACTGGACAAAGTAATGACTGCTGTACTGAAACTGCAGAATCACTTCAGAAGTGCACGCCATGTTTGGACGAAGTACGCAGCTACGGACCTTACATCTCTGGGATATAGAGTATATATGGCTGCACTTTGCGTAGTGCACCCGTTTTACCGGAGGGTGTGCGCGTTCTGGAGACTTTTTTGGGCTGAGATCGTGATGCCGCGGCCATTTCCCACATCCCTAGTGCCCTGCTTCTCACACTATCGCAGTTCCTTCCGATCTACGTGGCTTGTTGTCGAGTGTTGGAGGTGTACTTCTTTAATGGAAAGTGGCATCCTCTGTGAAGTGAAAGTTGTCAATAGGTGCTAGGCACTCATCGGCTAGCTTTCAGCGAAGTTCACTAGTAGATGGAGCCTGACCATAATGATTATACGAAAAGCAGAAGATTATACGAGGGGTTCACTTACGGCTAATTGCTTCTTCCATCTAGCAACGATTTTGTAATTACTTGGTTCTAGGAGCTGGTTTTAAGCATTCCAAGCAGCGTCGTAAGAAGAAACCTTATTCTATCCGTTCAGTATTGGCCCATAGCACTAATCCCACACGAACGTGGAATTTCAATTCCTACAAGCAAAATGCAGCGTAGCACTTCCCTCCCAGTTTTTTTTTCTTTGAAAACTTTCGTTTTCCCTTGGTGTTTGGGTGAGATGTTTTGCTCATTTGGTATAATCATGAAAACTCTATATATCCTTAGAGCAAGGCCAGCCCGCTAGGACTCTTACCATATTCATCCATCTGATCGGCTTTCTCCTTGTTATTCGCTTCCCCACATCTGATGTACTGAGTGGTCCCTAGTCTATTTTAGTATTTTACTGACATACTGAATGATCCCTAATCTACTTCAGTATTTATTGAAAGTGATGAAAGGAGTTGAGTGGGCGCTGATTCGACGACCTTGTTCTCTGCGGATTCTGGGCGTGTCAGCCAGACTGAGTTTTCTCCAGTCAGTTTCCCACCACTTGTTGAAGCGGGGCAAGCGACAAAAATTGATGGAGAACGGGTTACCGCTGCACCAGACGCAGTCACCTGACACGCCCAAGCCTCCGCAGCGAACAAGGCGTTACAAGTTCCAGCCAGAGTGAACTGTTCGCCTACACGGGTCCTTTGGTGGAATAAAGAGTAAAGTGTGACGCTTCCGCTGCTGATCAACTTCCTCTTGAGACGCGGCATAAGAACCCTGAATTGTGCGTCAGCTAACCCTGCAGGCCATCTTTGTAGTTCAGCTCGCATTCATTAAGCCACTATGATTCTGAATAGAAGAATGTGCTGCATACCAGAAAAGTGGTTGATTGCAGTCAGGATGATAGACTCTATGAACTCACACATTCCAGCTTCTCACACATACACAATTAGTGGCCCACGCAGTCCCCTTTGATTAAAAACCCCTCTCGATTGCCTATACATTCTTTAGTCCCCTTTTCTGCTCAAACAGACTTTCTTCACATGTCTGCACTTATGCTTTCCCAGCAACTCCTCCATGTCAGAAAGTCCAAGTATTGACATAACCGAGAAAAATGACGTGTTGTGTTGTCCCGGAGCTTCATCAACAACTGGGATCTGAACGTTATACAACACAAAAAAGCTCCAAGAACACCGTTTAATTCCAAAATTAAATTAAATTCCAAAATTAAATTAAGGCCACATTTTTATTGTCTTATGACTTTCGTTATTTTTCGAAAATCATATAACCCAATCAAAATAAAAAAAACCACCGCGTCATGCTTGACGAATGTGCCCAACATTCAGATTTAAAAACATAATCATCACCATCGACCCATCCCTTTTTAGGATGCGCCACGCATCAAACTTTCATTCAGAATCGCAGTGGTCATTGAATGCTAAATGGCCTATACAATGACTTGCGGGGGGCCAGCTGGAGTACAAGTCAGTGTTTTATCCTTCCACACGCATCTGGCGCCAATGTACCCTTCCTGGAGGGTAGAGAACTTGGTTGGTCTGGGCGAAAGCCTATCGGGGATTTGACTCCCGAGCGCACGCGTAGTAAGCATGCCACATGCCGCTGAACCACCTTCCGCTCAAGCACTAAAATGCTGAAGACGGGCAGAAGTATCGCAATTTGCCGCGCCGTTGCGCGCGACGCGATGTCCGGCGATGGCGGCGGAGAATTCAACTCTTCATCAGCTTGTTGATAAGAGCAGTGAAACTCGTATTAATCGTTGCATCTTCTTTTTTATTTAACTTATTTTCGTACGTACTCCTCAGTTTCTGGCCATTTCCTACACCGTATATTGCTGTCATGGTTGACGATATGGAGCATCAATTCGCTTGTCATACCTGCCAGGGCCGCAAATCCCGAATCTCTTTTCGGCACTATTTACCCTTTACTGCCCCAGTCATCCGAAATCAGGCCAGTTCCTGACCGACTTTTTTCTCTCGTGGGTAGATTCTGCTCAAATGTTGTCTCCTGGGGTAGTTTGACCTCCAGAATACGAATATCACATTCGCTCAGCCCAAAACTTCCTGGCGCCCGCGCCACAGGCGCCAATGATTTGGGGTATTTTGGCGCCGGTGCCCGTGGTGCAGGCGCCAGGAGGTTTCGGGTTGAGCGGATGTGATATTCGTGTTCAGGGTCAAACTACCCTGGGAGCAAGTTTTCAGCGAATTTGGTGATTTCGAGTATTTTGGCGCCGGCGCCCGTGGCGCGGGCGCCAGGAGGTTTCGGGTCAAGCGGATGCGATATTCGTGTTCAGCGGGTCGAACTACCCCTGGAGCCAAGTTTTCAGCAAATTCTGCCCACGGAGAAAAAAGTCGGTCAGGAACTGGCCTGATTTCGGATGGCTGGGGCAGTAAAGGGTAAATAGTGCCTCTTTTCAAATACCCTTAAAATACAGCAAAATAAATAATTTTGGAAAAATGTGAAGACTTTGATGTCTCCATATTTTGAGAAAAAACTTAGGATTTCCCTTTTTTTGCTAAACTAAAAGCTTTTGGAGCCTTCTGTGTACAACGCTGAGGTAAAAAAATGACAAAAACAGTGGCTATAAACAATTTATTACTACTTCCTAGATTTATCCCGGAGAACTTTTTCGTACTCCGTCCAGTCGTATTTACATTTGTACGGCATAAACCTGAAAATGACTCGCATTAAAGAGATTTTTCACAGGAAAAAGACACTATCTACCTGTCTGGAACGCCCCTGAGTCGTAATACTTCCAGCTCTTTCCACTTCTCAAAGTCATGCCGTGAATCACGAATACACAGGAAGACGGAACATGGTATAGTTGCCATGCTTAGCAGACTGAAATGAAAAATATTGAAAACCGGACGGCACCCACGAAAATAACAAAGCTCGTTCCCAAGCGGAAGCTGACATATGAAGTATCAAAATAAAAATGCAAGAAAAACAATAGGATGGATACTTTCTCTCGTTTCTGAGGAGAGCAAATATCACTAAGCGCCGCTTTGGTGACTGCTGTTAATGTCGCAATTCGCGTTCCGAACGTTATCAGAAGAATACCGAGTTAAAAGTGCAAAAGCTAGATCCCAAACAGGACTTGAACCCGCATCTCCCGCTGACCGGGCGAGTGCACTAACCATTTGGCCACCGGGGCCGCTCTTACTCCCTCACAATAGCATTTTGCCACGTTCGCATCATCATCATCATCATCATCATCGTTAGACGTGTGAGTGCAGCGAAGCCGTCAGACGGCCAGTGAGCTGAGAGGGTAAGTCTGGCCTCGGTAGCGTGATGGATAACGCTACCCCGCGTAAGCAGAAGATGCGGGTTCGAGTCCCGTTCGAGGTCTGACTTTTGCCCATAACTCAGCATTCTTGTGGTAAATACTGGAGCGCGAACTGCGGCGTTAAACAGCAGTTATCATAACAAAACAGCGTTTTGATGTCCACTTTGAACCTCTTTGAAAATGACTCAGATAAAAACACTCAACATTTTGAAATATGAATGTGTCGCTGATAGTTGATAACGCCCAATCAGTACGAGCGGTGTTTTTGGAGAACGGATTGAGGTTTGCTGTTTTCCCAACCAATAGCGATCGCTCAGTGATCGATCTAGGAAGAAAAGAACCAGTGGTGGGAACACAAGGGATGGGCTCATTCCATCTCTCTCGGAATCCGCCCCGACTGACTGCGACACCATCAATTTAAAAATGGCGCTTAACGAATTAGCTCCAGCTACTCTACACGAAAAATGGACGAGAGAAACGTACTATGATAGTCTAGCGCGTCCCGTTATACCATACAGCAACATATTTGACAGCACGAAATTGGTAGCGATGGAAATGGCAGTAACTGCAAATCCCGGATCGGGATCTTTGAAGATCTTAAAGAAAGCCCAATATATGACTGATTCCAGTACCGAAACTGACAAAGAACAAACATTAAATCAGAAAAAAAATGGCAGGGTGGCACTGAATTTCTTTCGGCAAACCGCTCTATGTGAGCAGGACGATGCCAACCTTCCTGCGCCTTCAGTTCCATTCAGCGCTCTTGTGGTCAGCAATCTTCACAGTGAGGTGGGGGGAGGGGCGGAAGAGCGAAGGGGTAGAGCCAGGATGGGTGACCAACCCGTTTAAAAAAGGAGTGGGCGGAGCGGCTGACCCACCAGAGCTATAGTCTTGTTCGCTACGGATCTGGGGCTTCTCAGGGAGGCTGGGCCTCAGCCAGTTCTTCACCAATTGCCGAAGCGGGAGATGCAACAACAACTGCTGGGGAACAGGTTGGAGCCACGTCAAACTCAGCTCCCTGACACGCCCCGGCATCCGCAACGAACAGTACTTTACCTTCCTCTTCAGAACGGTAGGCTGCTATACCGGTGCTGGCTCAAAATTGCAGACTGCTCTCTCCTACTCCCATTGTACCGTGATTACAATACTGAAAAAAAAATTGCTAGCGGGGCTTCAGTATTTGAACTGAGAGTACAGTAGCTGTCGTACATGAAGAGTCTCAGCAGAGACACGTCTGCGTTAATATCAGCGACGCTTTGTGCACCTAAACCTGAATTTCTTCGTTCCAACGGAATTCTGTCTAGTCCCAGGGAGACTCAAGGTCGGTGTTCGGCTTGGGTGGGGCATTTTGCACTTTCACAAGCTCCTTTTGCTAGGGCCCGTTGAGTTCCATAACACATCTTGATAACTCGTGTAGACTCTAGTCAAAGAGAGGCGATGCTCCTGCTGCTGCATAGCTCAACAGAAACTGACAGGTATCCACAGTGACAGGGGGGGGGCATCGTTAGTGAACGATGGAAACCAGCAAAAAGTTCCTACCAAACCAAACGTGTGCCTAGGAAAAGCCTCCCCTCAAGATGGCTCCCTTGGCCATCCCTCTCCGTCGAACCTGCGCTTCTGTTAGACAATTGGTATATGAAGAAATAAAATACTTGTTCTCGAGTAATTACCTTTTGAGAACAAAGTCATGTTACTCTGATGTACGCTGTGTGATCGCTGCCAAATACTCGGCCCGAAAACGCACAACAACAGCGGGCGTGCAGCGTGGCGAGGTAATCCCAGACAACCAGCCCTGTCATCTCTGGGTTACTCTATGATGGTATATATTGGTGTAAGGACAACTAAAGGAGGGCCATCCATGAATGATCACAAGAGAACAGCCCAGAGATAGCAGTATTTTACCACTCCGGTGAAAATTCAGAGCACTCTCAGTATAGATCCAATCCAATTAATGGCAACAGCACACTCCACAACAGCACACTCCACGCACTGGCTGATGGGCACTATCCTCCCCGCCCTCATTTACCCTGAATTGCTCCATTCTTCGAAATTCGGGCCCATTCAGATCAAGATATCAACCGTGGTGTGGATTTACCAGGAAGTCTGCCCCTGAACACGAATATCAGCCTAACTTGAGAATGCCTCGCTCGAACGTTCAAGCGCCGGTGAGGCAGCTTAGTGCCATCGCCACTTGCTAGCGTATTCGTCCTTAGGGGGTCAAAGTATATTGGGTATATTTTTCAGCAAATTTGAGGCCTTGCCGTGCATTACCGTCAGCGGCCGTGGCGCGGGGCCCGGCGCATGCAGTA